CAAACAGGTCGAAGAGGCGGGGATGGGGCCAGGAAAGGTGAGTGTAGGTAGGGAGTTAGGAAGGGGATAGGTCAGTCCAGGGAGGACGGACAGGTCAAGGGGGCGGGATGAGGTTGGTCGGTAGGAGATGGAGGTGCGGCTTGAGGTGGGAGGAGGGGATAGGTGGGAGGAAGAACAGGTTAGGGAGGCAGGGACGAGCTGGACTGGTTTTGGGATGCGGTAGGGGGAGGGGAGATTTTGAAACTTGTGAAATCCACATTGATACCATTGGGCTGCAGGGTTCCCAAGCAGAATATGAGTTGCTGTTCCTGCAACCTTCGGGTGGCATCGTTGTGGCACTGCAGGAGGCCCAGGATGGACATGTCGTCTGAGGAATGGGAGGGGGAGTTGAAATGGTTCGCGACTGGGAGGTGCAGTTGTTTGTTGCGAACCGAGCGTAGGTGTTCTGCAAAGCGGTCCCCGAGTCTCCGCTTGGTTTCCCCGATGTAGAGGAAGCCACACTGGGTACAGCGGATGCAGTATACCACATTGGCAGATGTGCAGGTGAACATCTGCTTGATGTGGAAAGTCTTCTTGGGGCCTGGGATGGGGGTGAGGGAGGAGGTATGGGGGCAGGTGTAGCACTTCCTGCGGTTGCAGGGAAAAGTGCCGGGTGTGGTGGAGCTGGAGGGGAGTGTGGAGCGGACAAGGGAGTCACAGAGAGAGTTGTCCCTCCGGAAAGCAGATAAAGGTGGGGAGGGAAAGATGTCTTTGGTGGTGGGGTCGGATTGCAGATGGCGGAAGTGTCGGAGGATGATGCGTTGGATCCGGAGGTTGGTGGGGTGGTACGTGAGGACGAGGGGGATTCTTTTTTGGTTTTTATTGCGTGGACGGGGTGTGAGGGATGAGGTGCGGGAGATGTGGGAGACACGGTTGAGGGCGTTCTCGACCAGCGAGGAGGGGAAGATAGTTTAGTTTTGCAAAGAAAAAGCTACTTCAAATTTTACTCCTGAACAATGTGAGTGTTTTATGGGTCTTTGCTAAACACTATATTGAAAATATAAGCAGAGAATGCTGGAGAAACTCAGCAAGTCAAGCAGCACCTATGGTAAGTTAAACAGAGTTAACATTCAGTCCCAACGTCCAAGGTTTCCAGAACGGTCTTTGGAGTTGAAAGATTAATATTGTTTATCTTTCCAAGATGCTGCCAGACCCACTGATTTTCTCCAGTATTCTGAATTTATTTGAGATCTCCAACATAGGCAGCATTTTGTTTTTATTGTCAACATTCTTTTCCTCATCCACAGGCTGAGTCAGGATTTAACAAAATTGAGCTACATTACTCATGTACATAGAGACACATCGAAATTTTAGTGCTTACATTTTGCAGTAACGTTCATACCAACTGATTTCAAAATCTTGACAAGATTACTGCCTTTAATTTCTCCTACTCCGCCAATCAATAACAAAAATAACAGATGCTTTAGTCAAATATGACACATTAACATTTAAACTGCAAGCAGATTCAGAGAATCTGCAGATCACCACGTTGATTGATGCTGAAAGATTACTTCTTATACTGAAACAGAAACATAGAAAACAGGAGTAGTCAGCCCTTCAAGCCTGCTCCACTATTCAATACGAACAAGGCTTATTATCCAATTCAGTACTCTTTTCCTGCTTTGTCCCCATACCCTTTCATCCCTTCAGCCCCAAGAGCTATATCTAATTCCTCCTTGAAAACATTCACAGGCTCACTTCTCTGCAGATGAAGAAATTTCTACATATCTCAGTTCTAAATGGTTCACCCCATACCTGGCTGCTCACCATTGGGCACATTCTTCTTGTTTTTACCTTCATATCTAGTCCTGTTAGGATTTTACTGGGTTCTAGGAGATTCCCTGGCCCAATTCATCTAAACTATTACAAATATAATCCTAACTGATCTAGAATCTCTTCATATGTCAGTCCTGCTCTCTCAACAATCAGTCTGTTATACCTTCGCCCTCCATAGCCAGAACATCCTTCTCCAAATAAGGAAGCCAAAACTGCACACAATACTCCAGGTCTAGTATCACCAAGATATCCTTGCTCCAGTACTTGTATTTCCTTGCTTTGAAGGCCAATATAGCATTTACCTTCTTCACCTGCATGGTTACTTTCAGTAACTGGTGTAACAAGGACATCCAGTTCTCGTTGCACCTTGCCCTTTCCCAATCTAACACCATTCAGACAATAATCTGCCTTTCTGTTTTGCTACTAAAGTGGACAACCTCATATTTATCCACATTATACTTCGTACACCATACAATCGTCTACGCACTCAACTTGTCTAAATCACAATGAAGCATCTCTACATCCTCCTCACAGTTTGCTATCCCACCAAGCTTTGTGTTGTCTGCAACCTTGGAGATATTACATTTAGTTCCCTCATCTAAATCATTTATGTATAATGTAAATAACTGGGATCGATGCTCCCTGTGGTACCCCACTATTCATTTTTCTGAGAGGCAGACAGCGACCTATCTATACCTACTCAGTTTCCAGTCTGCCAACCAGTTCTCTGTCGCTACATTACCCTCAATCCCATGCGTTTTAAATTTTACATACTAATCTCTTGTGTGACCTTATCGAAGGCTTTCTGAAATTTTAAGTAAACCACATCCTCTCATTCCTGTTAGCAACTCTACAAGATACACGTTGAGAAAAATATTCTAATGATCAATAAAGCCACAGAAACATTAGGGATAGCATTTAAATTTTCCTACATTGCTGTAAATTACAATCAATTGTGCTCTAGATTTGTCAGAAGCAGAGAGTTTCAACCAGTTAGACTTTTTGAGTTTTCAAATATTTTATTCACAAAACTTGCTAGCAATGCGCATTTATAACTGCAGAAAAGGCAACAGTAGATTTGGCACTCTGATGAATACAAGACGAACAATTTTGTTATAACTAATGTTACAAGACTGAGAAGTAAGATGAATTACAGTGAACTCAACATCAAATTAGAGAAATAAAGAGAAAGGAAGAAACAGAATGACATAGTACTACACAAAAGATTTGTAAGCAAAGTATTGCTCTTGGAATAAAAAGGGCCAGTAGCAACATGGATACAAAATTGTGATTTGAAAGGACTTCCATCATTGGCATTTTTTGAGGACTTGTTTGAAAGATTGTGAAAATTGGTCCATTTGATGTACTGAGGATCACTGAGATTTACTTTTTTCCTTTAAAGGTCACTGAACAGACACGCTGGACACTATTTTACTAAAAAAGGACAGAATAGAAATGACGTGACATAAGCAAACTGCTTCTATCTGCTGAAAAATCGCATGTTTGAGTTTATGGCTGTCAGAGGTGTGACCATTTGATAACATTTTGGGGTTTACCTAAAATATTTGCCACCTTGCTGAGAAACCTTCCTTAGGATCTGTATGAGAACTGAAAAAGTTATTTCTCCCAAAAGATTTCCTGAAGACTCACCTCAACATCTTGAAGAGATCCAGAGGAAAACTCTGTGTCCAGTGACCTGTCTATATGTACAAGGGCACCAGACTGAAAGCAATCTAGCTCATTTTACCTCTTACCCCTTCATTGTTTGAGAATCAACAATGACTCTGGCCAAAGCATTTTCTTCTAAAGTTAATGTTCAGAGAAAGGTTCCTTGTTTTAACTTATCTTTACTTGTATGTGAATGGTGGGGTCATTTATAAGCGTAAATATTAATATAATTTTATATTTCAAACTGTCTGCAGTCAGAAATTGCTAGAAAAGTTCAACAGGTCTGGCCACAGCTGTAGAGAGAAATCAGAGTTAACATTTCGGATCCAGTGACCCTTCCTCAGTTCTGCATTCCTCTAATCTTGGGTATGGCAGACGTCTAAGTGATGGGAAATAAAGAAACAAGCACTGTTGCTTGTTGATTGGAGAAAGGTTTAGACTAGGATTCACTAGGGTTCAGTGCTGGCCTTGTTGTTCCTGATAAATATTAGCCTTCAACTTCAATGAGGGTGCAATTTCCAATATGCAAATAGTACAAAACTTAGAGACATTATGAACACTGAAGTATAGAACTTCAAAAAGGCAAGCAATTAGTGCAATGTGTAGACTAGTAGCACAAGAAATTCCCGATGAAAGTGTGGAGTGATTCATTTTGGTACAAAGAAAACAGATAGGCAGTATAAACTAAAAGGGTACATTTTAACGAGAGTGCAGGAGTAGAGACCTGGGTGTAAGTGTGCATGTGTCAATGAAGGTGACAGGACAGGCTAAGAAAGTAATTAACAATGTATCCTAAGTTCTGTAAGTTATCAGTTATGAGATAGTTAAAACAACCTCCTTGCTGTTCTATCTTTGCGTAAAACACTGGCTCAGTGTGAACTGAACTACTGTGTCCAGTTCTTAGCGCTGCACTTTATCTGAACAAAATGAAAGCATTAAGAACATGCAGAAAGAATCCACGAGGATGATTTCAGATATGAAGAACTTCAATTACACAAGATGTCTGGCAAAGTTGGAATTGCTTTCTTTTGAGAAAAGAAGGTTGACAGAAGATTTGATAGATGTACGTAAAATTGCAAGGGCTCTGGACATGATGAATATGGAGAAACTGTTCCCACTGGTGAAAGGAACGACACAGAGTACTGATTTGAGGTCACTGGCAGAGCAGCAATGGAGAATCAAAGAGAAACCTTTTCTGCATAGAGTGGTTATGATCTGGGATACACTGCTTGTGTACTGCAGGTAAGTTCTATTCAGCTTATTCAAGAGGGAAATGAATTATCTAAAATTAAGGTACACAGGGAGAAGTTTGGGGGAAACGGCACCAGGTGAATTGCTCATTCAGATGTGGCACAGAGAATGTGGCTAAAAGGCTTCATTTCAGAGCTGTAATGATTTTGAGATTTGCTCTTATTGTTGCAGTCTTGCTGGTTCTCCCCAGTCCATCCTGGGCTACCATCAGTGTTGAACTGAAGCAGTAATATGGCTCTAGATGAGAAACCCTCTCTCTCTCTCACCTGATGGTCCTCACCACGAAGTACACAATGACTAAGGCGGTGACAGCGACCAGCACATAGAGAGCCCGCTGAATCATCATGGTCTGTTCATCAGCGGATACACTGCTGTTGTACTCGACATCCTTGATGGGTTTATCTCCGGCCTCCAGCCCGGGGGTGCTACCGTTATTGTTATTGTTGCTGCTGCTGTTGCTGTTGTTGATTTGCAGCATAAGGCCCAACACGATCCGGCTTCCCAGCGACTTCCAGGACATCCTCACATTTAGCACCGCGTCTCCGGCCCGCATCAGCGGACAGAGCCAGAGTAACCGAGGCGCCAACGACCACATGGCAAAGCGGCGGCTCGAGCTCAGTGTAAGCCTCCCCCCCAACTCCCGGCTCGAGGCCCCCGGCCTGCGGCTGTTACTGAGGGAGCACGAGCGGCGCTCACACAGAAACCGGAAGTGGAGCCGCTTGTTTTATTTTCTCCAGAGAATCCGCCACGTGTAGAATAAACGGGAGATCATGGAAATCCGGACTGGATTACAGTTTACACCCGAACTGGAACAGAGTCAATTCCCGGTCTGGAATAGTGGAATGCAGTTCAATGAATATGGTCCTGTCCTCAGCACCATATAGAAATGTCCTGTACTGCCACAGCCTGCCCTGTCCTCTGCACCAAGCAGAAATATCTTATAATCCAGTAACCTGTCAGGTCCTCTGTTGTGGACATGATTTATTGAAATTTAGCACCCTGTTCTGTCATCTGTACTGTACAGAAATGTGTTACAATTCAGCACAGTAGTCTTTCATCTGTAAAGCGAGGGATGTATTTACAATGTAGCAACTGTCCTGTCCCCTGTAGTGGACATAATTTATTACAATCCAGCACCCTGTTCTGTTCTCTGCATTAGATAGAAATGTATTACAATCCATCAGCTTGTCCTGTGCTGTCCTCCTTACCAGTAGAATTGTAATACACTACAGCAGCCTGTCCTAGTATCTATGCTGGGCACATATTTTTTACAGGAAAGATGTGGAAGCGTTGGAAAAGGTGCAGAGGAGATTTACCAGGATGTTGCCTGGAATGGAGGGAAGGTCTTACGAGGAAAGGTTGAAAGAGCTAGGGCTTTTCTCTTTAGAATGACGAAGGATGAGAGGTGACTTGATAGAGGTGTACAAAATGATCAGAGGTATAGATAGAGTAGACAGCCAGAGACTTTTTCCTAGGGTGGAGGTAGCTATTACGAGGGGGCATAGTTTTAAAGTGAGTGGAGGTAGATATAGGGGAGACGTCAGAGGTAGGTTCTTTACTCTGAGAGTGGTCGGGGCGTGGAATGCATTGCCGGAGCGGGTAATGGAGTCGGCCTCATTAGGGGCATTTAAGCGGCTATTAGATAGGCATACGGATGATAGTATAATGTAGGGGTGGAGGTTAGATAGACCTTAGGATTAGGGTAAAAGTTCGCCACAACATTGTGGGCCAACGGGCCTGTACTGTGCTGTGCTGTTCTATGTTCTATGTTCTATATTCACTACAGTCCAGCAGCCTGTCCTATCTTCTTGTCCCATGGATGAATATATTACAATCTATCAGCCCTGTATTTGACACAAAAGTAAATCTCTGGATTACTACATGAGCTAAGAGCCAAATGGGGAAGGGGAAATAAGATTAGTGTGACTCAAAGATGGCGATTGGAAAAATAGGTTTCATTACATTCAGCCCATCAAGTCTACCCTGTCATTCAACAGGGTTATGGCTGATTGAATACTTTGATGCCTTTTACCCACCCCCATCCACAAAGCCCTGTGTGCCATTGGTAATCAGGCAATAGTATAAAGTAGCAGTACAGGTAATAATAATCAGGGTGACAGAGCATACAAGCAACAGCATGGACCAGCACATATGTTCAAGGTAGGGAAAATTTCTAAAAGGATAGAATTTCTAAAAAGATAGAATTAAATGCTGCATTCATACAAAGATATCAATGAACTAAGCACAAATTACACGTGATACCAAGTTTAGCAGGAATATGTGTTGCGAGTAAGATGTAAAACATTTACAGGAAGGATATGGACACACTTAGTGATTGGGCAAGAATATAGCAGATGAAGATGAAGTATAATGTGGAAAAATGGGGTTTCATCATCATATTGTAGGACATTATTGGTGCACAAAGTGTCATTAGGTTATTCAGAAAATGTAGAATATCCAATTCATTGGATAGACAGGAAGATGATTTGTTGTAGGGGGATGAGTCTGAAACTAAAAGCATCACATCAAATCCAGACTAAGATCCTAATGATTCAATTGCCAAACTGGCTCAGAATGATGCATGAATTCCTTGGCAGAAAGGATAAGGAGAGGCAATAATATCTAAAATACACAGTTTTAAAGAGTGTGCATGGAAAGATGGTTCTAGGTATGATGTGCAATCAGTTTTGAGTGTGATAGGATGTATTGAGAGAGTAGTCAACAAATAGGGTCCTAGTTTTGTTGATTAATAAAGCAGGGAAATTACACCTGTATAAAACACGTTTAGGCCACGTTAATTTACTGCGCCAAGTTCCTGGTCATCAAAGGTTAGGAAGATTGTGAGAGTCCTCGAGAAAATACAAAACAGCTTTATCAGAATGGAGGAAATGTAGCTTTGAGACTTGATTCGTTGGATGTATACAAGATCATTACAAGTTTAGCTAAGGCGGAGAATAGTTGTTCCCATTATGGCATAAGGACTGGGGGATACAGATTTAAGGCTTTGGCAAGAGGAGACGGAGCATGAGAGGAAGAATGCTTTTTATGCAGCCAGAGGTAATGATTTGGAATTTCTGCTTATGTGAGTGGTAGAAGTGAAGATGCAGAATGAGTTAAAAAGGACATTTGATAGGTACTTTTGAAGGAAATAAATTTACAGGGCTGGGAATAAAGAGTGAGACTGATTCCATTCTTCTGTAGAGATCCAGTGGGCTGAATGTCCTCCTCCTGTGCCATAATTGCTGTATAGGTTTTACCAGCCCTCTGGGAGTGGATGGGAGTCCCATAAGGTGGCAACGAATAATGGAGGGTGGAATGCCCATCATCATCCTGTTGCCATGCTATACTATCAGTGAGCCAGAAGGTGGATGATGGCCCACCCACCCAGAGGCCAATTGAATTATTTGTGGGCAATTAGAGGCCTCTTCACACTGGTATTGACATTTTGCCAGGGGCAGGAGGACCCTGTACTGTTTGAGGAGACTGCCTGATGAAACCTGCACACTCAGGTCGGGGATAGCTCCAACTCAAGGATTCTGTGGTATGTGAAGGAGATCCTCTATTGGAAATTATTGCCTCTACCCTCTCCAAGTCCACCTTACACTAATTGCCAGGCTGCTAGAATGGTCCTGGTATCCCCAAACCCCACTTGACTAATTATGGGTGGGGGACATAATTGACAATCTTCCAGGCATCCTTTCTCTTTCAGATGCAAGCTCAGCAGTGGCCACTGCTCCATGTGATGTTGTTGAAACCATTGAATTGGTGTTCTTCGATTGCCAGCAGCACTTGGGGATGGGTCGTTATCCTGGTGATAGCTAATCAGTTGTCTGACAGGAGTGTAATGAAGCTGGATGTCCTGAAAATAGTTGAGTCAGAAGTGTCCCAGCTTTCCAGCTTATGGTCAGGATCCCTGCCTCAACTCCAACTTCCCATGCGACTATAAATACGGGAAGTTGGAGTTGAAGTAGAATGACAGGGCAGGCACAAAGGAATAAATGGTCTACTTTAGTTTTCAAATCCTACATTCTTGATTATTTTTACTAAATCATAGAATCCCTACAGTGTGGAAGCAGGCCATTCAGCCCATCATGTCCATACCGACCCTCCAAAGAGCATCCCACCCAGACCAAGGCCCCTACCCATGTAACACTGCATTTCCCATGGCTAACCCACATATCACTGGACTCTATGGGCAATTTAGCATGGCAAATCCACCTAACCTGCACATCTTTGGACTGTAGGAGGAAACCGGAGCATCCAGAGGAAACCCTACGCAGACATGAGGACAACGTGCAAACTCCATACTGACAGCTGCCTGAGGGTGGAATTGAACCTGGGTCCCTGACGATGTGGGTCAGCAGTGCTAACCACTGAGCCACCGTTGTTGGCCTGAATGATCTTCTCCTGTGTTCTGAATTCAGTACAATCCTTAAAAAACTGTTGCATAACAGCAAAAGTATATACAACCAAAGTTTTTCTTAAGGCTGATTACAGAAAGCTGTATATTTCCTTCAGGGACAGAAGCTGCCATCCTTACCTGGTCTGGCCTACATGTGACTGCAGACCCACAGCAATGTGGTTGACTCTGAAGTGCCCTCTGTGCAATTAGGAATGGGCAATAAATGCTGATCCAGCCAGCGATGCCCACATCCCATGAATAAATAAAATAAATTGATACTTTGCACTTTTACATTTTCCTAAAAAAATAGAAGGACAAATTGATATCACAGCCTCTGGCCCAGACTTTCTATTCAGCAGCAATGCTGGCTGCACTTCCTGGTCCAACAAGTTTCCTGCACCCGAAGAGAATTGGGGCTTAAGACCCTGACTGAAGCAGAAATGAGCCTGTGTAATCTCTTCAGGGTAAATTCAACAAATATAGGAGAGTCAAAGGAAGTTCAGGACATCCTTTTTTTATGTAGTCAGGTAAGCTTATAAGGTCTCAAGTCCTTTAATAAATGAATTAATGATTGTATGAGTGAATGAGTGCATAATAGGAGCTGGGAAAGAGCGATGGCTGAGGTGGGGAGGGATAGCAAAGTAGGTTCAAAGGTTGTAGTGATGATGGGAGGGAGAGTCGAGTTGCGTGGTCAGTAGGCTAGGGTTGAGAGCTGGATAGTGGTGTGAAAGGAGGTTGGGTCGGGATGGGATGGTGGTGATGTGAGAATTGTATTGGGTCAGTCCAGGGGTTTGTCAAATCAAGTCAAGGATTTTTGATGGGAGAGAGTCAAGTCAGTGAGCGTTGTGGGATAGTCATGTCAGTTAAGGGGTGTCGTAATCAGGAGACTCAGGTCAGTCAGGTCAAGTGGCCTGATCTAATCTGACTCCCCAGTGCCTAGTAGTTTACATTGTTCAAAATTCTATAGACTCTAGAACAGTTCCTATGGATTGCAGGGTAATTAATATCATCCCATTATTTGAAAAAAAGGAAAGAGAGAGGAAACAGGAAACTATAGACCAGTTAGTCTGACATGCCATAGGAAAATGCTGGAGTCCCTTATAAAAGATTTAATAGCAAAGCACTTGAAATACAGGAGCAGGATCAGGCAACATTAGAATAGATTTACATAAGGGAAATCTTGCTTGACAAATCTACTGGACATTTGAGAGGGTATAACTAGTGAAGTTGATAAGTGGGAGGCAGTTAATGGAGTTTACTTGGAATTTCAGAATATTTTCAATATACTCCTACATAAGAGATTAGCCTATGAAATTAAAGCAGTTGGGATTGGGGGTACTGGCATGCAGAGAGAGCTGGTTGGCAAACAGGAAACAAGGTTGGGATAAACAGGTCTTTTCCCGAGTAGATGGCAGTGACTCGTGGGGTACTGCAGGGATCAGTGTTTGGACCATAGTTATTAACCATATACATTAATGATTAAATGAAGAAACTAAATGTAATATTTCCAAGATTGTTGATAACACAAAGCTAGGTGGGAGGGGGAACTGCGA